TTTGCAGTCACTTCTGCCCTCATTTTTGCCCCCAGCTAACCTGTGATCTACAGACAGACCCTCATTTTCTACTCAGGTACAAGTGGGAAATTTCAAGAAACCTAGGCTCGTACAGTGTTTTACCAGCAGTTTCTGCTAAGAAAGCTTGCCACTGTACTCACTTGAAAGGAAAAATGTTTAACAGTATCTCATTATTTATCATGGAGCATACACTGAAGGGCTCCTTCAGAGCTGAGAGGTAAAACATTGAATAAATGGCATATATGATGTATCCTGATAAGAAGCTGACAAACTATATGAGAGATCAAGTTTGAAACATTCTATTCAAAACTTACCATGACAGTTTTTATAATTCTAGCCGTTCTTGTGGGCCTGTAGTGGTATCTCATTATGTTTATAATTTGCATTTCTTTGATGGCCAATAATGCTAAGCATCTTTTCATATCTCTTTCGCCATTTGTCTAACTCATTTTCTGAAATGTCTGCTCAAATATTTGGCCCAACTTTTAGTTGGTTTGTCTTATGCTTGAGTTTTAAGAATTATATATATGGCCGGGAGCAGTGACTCACACCTGTAATCCCAGCAATTTGGGAGGCAGAGGCAGGCAAACTACAAGATCAGGAGTTTGAGACCAGCCTGGCCAACATAACATCACCTGTTCTGCAAAAGAACACTATTCAGTGTTTGAAACTCTGAAAACAAATTACACTGTGACTGAAGCTGCCCATCAGGAGTTGGCTCTAATCAGTTCCCTAAACAGGAAATTAGTCAGGCACAACTAAAACCATTTTATTTGAATGGCACATTGAAATTCACATGGTGAAACCCTGTCTGTACTAAAATACAAAAATTAGCCAGGCGTGGCAGTGTATGCCTGTAATTGCAACTATACAGGAAGCTTAGGCAGGAGGATAGCTTGAACCCAGAAGGCGGAGTTTGTAGTGAGCTGAGATTGCACCATTGTACTCCAGCTTGGGTAACAGAATGAGATTCCATCTCAAAAAAAAAAAAAAATAGATGTTCTGGATATACCAAAAGTATAGATATAACGTGCTTATTGGGTTTCAAAAATCATTTGGATTTTATCAACCACTTCTCAGAGAAAAAAAGATTATATATGTTGTGTGTGTGTATTTTATATATATATGTGTGTGTATATATATATATCACACACACACACATACCCATGTATGTTGCCCCAAATACAGAACCTGATTAATATGTATTTGCAGGAAATGAGGAAGCATGTGCTGAAGTGGATGTTGATGTGCTGGACTGGGCTGAAGGAATGGCTGAGACATATAGGGCTGGCATGGGGAGATTTTAATGATATGGTACACTCATGTGCTATATAGGATTAAATATATTCACAGTAATACTTGCAGCCAGACCTAAAAGTCAACTGGGATCACTACGGGAAATCTGAACATAAAAATCACTTACAGCAAAAGAAAACTTTTTTGATGTAGTACTCCAGAAGGGATGAGAAAACTCAGAAAAATGGGACTACTGAAATGGATTTCTTGTAAGCATTAAGAAAGCACCACCTGAACATGTTTCTCAGCAAGACCTTTTACTAGGCCAGTAAGAAACGGATGAAGATGACAATAGAATCTTTGAGAAGTTCAGTGGTAGCAGTCCTTTGGAGGACAAGGTTTACAGTAGGAGATGCTTCTGTGGAACCAGGCTTCTTAATATAAACTGGAGATGATGAGATCACAGAAGGCCAGAAGCTAGATGTCAACACTTAATCCATATATGCAAGGTAGATGTGATCAACATAAAAGGCAGCAAGTTTGGAGTGAGAGTGAAGGTGTCTCGACACACAGGCTTATGTTGAAGAGCTATTAAGATTCATCAGGAAGGCGGGCATAAAAGATGTTGCTCATCTTGCAAAAAAAGAAATCAATTTTTGGCAAGCAGAAAATGATCATCAAAAGTTACAATAAAAATTGTTCTCCATCACTGAGTTCCAGGACCTAATTCTATACACTGACTCAGAGATCCTTGAGAAGGAAACTGTCCTGCTAATGTAACATGTTAAAAAATGCCTACAATTTTTTCCCCAAAGGGACCTGAGACAGTTTTTAAGGCACCTGGCCCTTGAGAATGAGAAATATTTTGATTTTTCAAAGACAGGACATATAGGATCTGAACCAAGATTAATACTATGGAATGCAATACTCCATCATGACCTTCTGATTAGAATTGTGCTAATAGAGGTCAGAGGATAAATGGCTTTTTTTGGCCAAAATGTATAGTACACTGTTTTCAGTGGATCCATATACCCAGCCTGCAGTGAGTTGTCTGGTCTCCAAATGTATAATGTGCAGATATACTTGGTAACTTGGAAAATCCTTATTTAGGTTTGATGACCTGTGAAGTAAGATGCAACATTCTAAGAAAGCCAAATATAAGTACCCCTTGGATCTGGAATAATGTCTCCTGTTCTGCAACAGAACACTATTCAACGTTTGAAACTCTGAAAACAAATTACCCTGTGACTGAAGCTGCCCATCATGAGCTGGCTCTAATCAGCTCCCCAAACAGAAAATTAGGCACAACTAAAACCATTTTATTTGAATGGCACATTTAAATTACTGACAGGGCAGATTCAAAAGACGTGAATTAAAAGGTGATCCAAATAGCCCTGTTACCTATATGTCTCACTAAAACTTTACTCTTCCTCAACTCACGTGCACCTGTGGTCTCATGTAATGACCTGTTCAACAATCTTAACAAAAAAGCAGTAATTTGAACTCAGTTCAAATTATGTAAGACTGAATTCATTACTGTACCATTCAGTTGTATTAGTACCTGAGCAAAAATGACATTAGTGTAAAGAAATACAGTAAGCATAGCACAAAGCAATACATTCATTCAGTTCATATAGAGAGAGAAGTTCCTCATGTACAAATGTGCATGGACTTCTAAGCAGTGAAAACCACCTTGACTGGTGGGTAAGGAGCTAGAAATCAACTGAACCAGAGGACAAAAGACAGGGATGTGTGGATAAGAATTATGTGGCTGGAAAATGAAATTGAACAGAAAGCATACAAATGGTTTTGTCTAGCATTAATGTCCACAGAGAACATCCACTTCAGATGGAATTCTCCGAAGCTAAACAGACAGGATCACTGGTTCTGCGGATGCCAGTTACCCTCTCTACTTGGCCATGCAAATGTTGGCTCAGTAGGGAAATGAACATATATGTCATTGTAGCAGAGAGGAGGCTGTACATTAGTTTAAACAGCCTGGGTTCCATCTCATCGAGGCTGATCTAGCTATAGCCACTGCCAGCAGTTGAAACAAAGGTTGAGCTCTAGACATGGCATAATTTTTTGAGAAGGCTTGTTATCTACTTGAAGATGTGATTCATCAGATCTTCTCCAACCTGGAGGGTGTAGCAATTCGCTCTGACTCAGAAGTGCTGCTTACTGCAAAATGACTTTTCCTCCTACCAGCAGCACCAACATGTGGCTTTTATAATTCATCTGTTGATATGTTATCCCATGCAATGTTGCCTCAGCCCAAAGGACAACTTCACAGCAAATAAAATATTTCAATAGGCCCAAATATTTTATCATGTGCCTTATATTTAAGAAACAGCAGGACTAATGATATGGCACAATGGTCTATTAAAGTTCATTTAGGGTGTCAGCTTAAGGACAGCAGTGTTTCAGAGTTAGGGTTTTATTCTTCAAGGCATGTTAAACATGCCGAAATACTAGCTAATATGTTATACTATGTGCTCTATAGCGAGGATTCATAGGTTTGTAAATTAAGAAGTCAACGTCAAAGTGGTCTTCTCTAGTAGTTGCTGCTGGTGTATATAATAAAGAGCCTGATTCCATTTTTAAATGTTTGATTCTTGTTAAAAGTTGTTTTGTCCAGAAATGCCTGGAAGGCTATGCTCTATTTTTAGACTGTCCCCTCGCCGATGACTAAATGAAATAGGATTCAGAAGTCCAATCGCACTTCTTTCAAGTGAGACAATTTTGTGGTACCATAGGGTTCCTTATGGAGTCAGGCTGAGACTAGACCTAAGCTAAACACACATCTTTTCCCAGCTTCTTTCTTTGCTATACTCTTTTTCACTCCTTTACAGATTCTACATTAAGATTATACATTGAAACAGACTCTACAAACAGGATCCTAGAGTTAGTTCACGCTCTGGCCATGTAACAGTAAGGACCCCATTACTAGTGAAAGGTAAAATATTGATGATCCCTGGCATGACAAAGTACAATTGCTAAAATGCTCAGATTTAGTGAACTGGAAAGGGATGCACAGTTTGCTGCAGACACTTGAGAAGTAGAGGAGAAAGAACAATTATAAACGCTGTGCCTACTGCTGAGCATCATTAATGCTTTCCATAGAGAAACACCGGACTCAGATGAACTGTGGTCCTATATAATGTTCTTTGCTAACATTCGAAGAGATTCTTATTTCCTAGAGCCAGATGGCAGGATGAACTGAATCTGGGGTGCATAATTAATTACAAGAATGGCTGAATTAGGAAGTTAGATTTTCAGGCCAGTGTTTTCCCTGATATTACAGCTGATTTAAATAGGTAGTGTCAAGAACCCTGGAAGCTCTGATTGATTATACTGAATTTCCTGGGTTTTTAGAAGTTTTCTACTCTGTTAGATGATAATAGCACCTGCTTTGATTGAAGACTAGACAGATACTTTACAGACAATGCTTTTCTCCCTTAGAATCTATGTCTCTCCCTTCTATTGGCCACTATCAAGCTGGCTAACTGTGCACTGGTTACTAACTTGTCTGATATCAGTGACAGAGAACATCCATGCGTGCAACAAGTTACGTAAACTGGATTTATTATTTATAGATAGGCAGCAAGAAACAACCGAAGCTTAAGATTCTTGTGAGCTGGTCCCCCAGGCTCATGTAAACTTCCCAGGGTGTCCCTACTTGATATATTTTACTTGCATCACTGCTGAGGAATTCCAAAATGCATCCCCCCCAGTTTACTTACCTCAGGAGAAACAAGACATGCTGGGTGAATGCACTTAAGGACATACTGTTTCCAAGAGAGAGAAAATCAGCCCCGGGCTATTCTGACTAGTCCCTCCCCAGTCTCAGGATGTTGTATTCCCAGTACAGCCAAGTTGCTCTTGAAAACTACTAGCAAGAAAGAGGAGAGAATCTCTTGTTTCAGTCCAAGGATTAAGCCAACTGGAGAACTGTCCTGTAGCCACCAAACAAATAAATTCAGTCACATCCAAGCAAGATTCAAGAAGGAAGCACCAAGATTGCTAAGGGAGGAGAATAATTACATTCCAAAAGTCACTTCGGGTTATGGTTAACAAGTACTAGGGAAAAAAAAAAAAGCCAGTTTGCCTAAAAATAGATCCTGAGGGTGCTACAAAAGGGAGATGTTTTAGTGTGGGAGAACTCTCCCTTGCTACAAGATTTAACATCATTTTAAGGGCTTTGGGAGATGGTTCAAATGCCCTTTTCAAATGGCTGATGGAAGCTTGGAAAATGTTCTCTTATTAGATTAGATGCTAAAATTCTCATCAT